TATATATATATATGTAAGTATCTATTGATTAAAACCAAACAAAACGTGAATTTCTGACTGAGATAGAGAGTTGTTTGCTAAGAATGGAGGCGTATTGTTGCAGTGTATTTAGACATCAAATTGGGTTTTCACTAACCCTAAAGAAACTCAACATATTTCAGAAGTAAGTATCTTCAAATTTACTGAAGTTGTGGAGATAACCATTAGGCCTTAAACATGTGGCTTTTATTCCAACAGTGCCATCCCCTGTGAAAAATATTCAGGTCAGTGTCAAGACAGACACTATATATGCTTCGTGGTCTCCAGGCTCTGGACATGTGGATCATTACAGGCTGGTGTTACTGGATAATCATGTCCCAGTTCGTGAGATTCACCAGGAAGATCCTCTGACCTCCTACACTTTTTCAGGACTCACAGCGGGCCACCTGTATAATCTCTCTATCATAACCCAGGCTGCAGAATTGGAGAGCAGCAATTTTCAAACAGTCCGGACAGGTATGATTTCAGAATTCATCACAACAGAACAAGAAGCTAAGGCCATAATATAATAATATTACAGGACATATTTCAGAACAATAAATGATTTGTGTTCCAAGTGTGCATTCCCAGACTTCAGTGACTGAATTAATCTTGGCAGGTGTTTTTCTTCAAAGGTTATGGAGGGAGTTGGAGACACCATAAGCTTTTTTAGCTCCCTAAGTTAGCACTGCAGCAAAGTTAGCAGCTAAATTTGCTTGTAGGGTGTCTGCAGCTAACTGAGCTGCACTGCTTAATCTAGGCAGCTCCGTTAAACATGTAAAGTTAGGTGTTAACAATCTACGCCCAAGTGCCCTAGTATCACCTCATATCTGTGAAGGAGGTTCATCTGACTCCTGCATGAACTTCTTCAGTGAATTGCGGTGGTGTATGGCCTGATTATTTCACAGTACTGAAGGCAGTTTAATCCCATGGTTCTTACTTAGCTGAATGGGAGATGCAGAGCTTGTGAGTTTTGCAAAAAAATATTTTCTGTGACTTTTTTTCTCTGGATTGCAAAATAGCAGCACTTCTGAAAAGAAAGTGAAAAAAAAATGTAAAGCACATTAAAACTGAATGTTGCTTTTGTTGGTGGCTTTTTTAACAGAGAAGTATTGGTTCACAGAACCAGAGTTTTAGAAATGAAGTTATTTTTCCAGAGAGGTTTTTCAGGATAGAGTTCTGTGGTCTTAGAGAGAAAGATAAGATGACATCCTACTAGAGTCCAGTGGTAAGAACACTCATGTAAGCAAAACCAGGGTCATGCCTTTGCTTTCCTTAATTTCTGGGAAACGTAAGGTGCAGTTTCTCCTACAGAAATCTCAGCATGTGAACATAATTAAATATTAAGTGAACAATATTGTGATGTCTAGGGCACACAGATGGGTGCTGTTGTCATCCAGCACTGGGTGTTCTGGGGGTTACACTCTTGTTTCATTTTATTTATTCAGAATTTTTTATTTCTTCCTGTTGTGGGTGCAAAAATTTTGAATCTCACCGGTTTTCTCGGCACATAAAAGCACTCCATCTAGCTTGCAGCGTGGCCCTCCATTTCAGTACCTAGTGTGCCCCAAGCCTGGGAAATTAAGATATTGGGGGTGGCTATGCTTTTCCTTTTAGGGAGCATTTGAGTAAGGGAGTTTGATTCCAATCCCTTCTACACTGGTGCAAATGAGGTATAGCTCCAACCATGCTGTAGTGTTTACTATGTATGCAGGCATCTCTGTTCCTAGAAGCATGTGTCTGTTCTGTTTTATAGCCAAAATGACTAGCATGAGTACAGACATGGCTAACAGATTTTCTGTTCCTTGAAACAAGAGTGGGCATCATAAGAGGTGTCACTCTCAGCATCAGAATATCTTAAACAGGGCTGGGTTCAGTTTCACTGTGAGCAGACTTTACCCTTTCACTGTTCAGCACAATCATTCACGCTCCATCTCATATAACTATTCAAAAGCAAAACATAACTATCGCAGTTTGGAGGCAGCAGGTCTTACATGTTCTACGGTGCAAGTATTTTATTCTTTCTTTCTTTCTTTTTTTAGCCCCAGCTGAAGTCCTAGATTTGATGGTGACTAACGATGACAGCTTAGATGCTTTAAAAGTTAAGTGGAGAAGACCTTCAGGAAACCTCAATTTCTATAATATCACTCTGTCTCATCTTGGGTCAGTTAAAGAAGTCAAAACTCTACAGCCACCGGTCACAGAGACTCGCTTTGACAAGCTAACTCCAGGACGTCTTTATCAGGTTACTGCCCGCACAATCAGTGGTGAACTGTTTACTGATCGGATGGCAACTGGCAGGACACGTAAGTCTTCTCCTTCAGTAAGAACATTGTAACCAATGCTATTTTTGCCTGCATCGGCCTTGTATAAAATCATTGTAGGAGACAAAATGATTTGGATTCCACGCAAAGTAAGATAAAGAGCACAATATTGTTCCTGGAGTACTCTTTCCTGGCTCTCTGGTAACAGTTAATCCAGCAGCCAAAAGCAACTGCAGCATAGCTTGGGAGCAGGAAACAATAATTTTGGACCTTATAGGTTTGTGAGTCTGTTACAAAACTGTTACACACTACTGAACTTCTGACCGACTTTGTTATCTTGAGTTCAAATCAGTGTAGTATATAAAATGAGTTACATTATGAAGAAGTATGTATGTGGTCAAATTGTTAATGGATTTTTAAGTAATTTTGCAAGGTCTAACATTATCCCTTGCTCCAGACACAAGTCTACAAATAGGAAAAGATTAGGTCTCAGCTTTCTTTACTACGAACAGCATGGATTAAGTAAGGCATGTGGCAGCCTGGATAGAGCTGGGTTATGTTTTGTTTATCTTCTTTCAGAAGTAAAATTTTCTTTCAGGTATGTCTTGTATGAGTTCTGAACCTGAAAAATCCTGGCATAATTCTCCCACAGCAATACTGGCCACAAAGGCGTATCATCTTCTCCACACCAGCCTAGCCCAGGCAGAATTTAGATGGGAAAAAATACATAAGTGGGTGAAGAGTACGTACAGAAATTGTTGGTAGACTCAGAGCCAAAAAATATAAAATGCATGTATGAGAGAGAGAAAAAGCAGGGTATTTATTTCAGAGGATATTTATCATCTACAACTAAACACGTCATGTGAAAGGCACATCCTTCACATATCTAGCTGCTGCCCCGTTCTCAGTGCGGGCTGGAAGAGACCTGAAGAGCCTTTCATGTCCAGTCGGTACAAAGCTGGATTGGTTACATGCGTGTCTTTTTGTTTGTCTAGCCTACCATTAAAGACCTTTAAAATTACCATTTCCATCTGAAGGGGAAGCTTCAGGCCATCACTCAAACCACTGATCCCCACATTTGTGACCTAGACCCAGCACTTTCAAAGTTGGGGATCTAGAAGTCCCATTTCCAAAGATGCTGATCATGTGCAATTCCTTCCCTTGGCTTTTCTGTGGATACCAAGAGCTTTAAAAACAGAGTCACTTCAGCAGAAGCTTTGTGGCCTAAAGATAAGATTGTAAATCTGGGCTATCAGGTCTACATGCTCAAAGGGTTAGACTCTTAGGATCCCTCTGTAACTCAGAGAGAGCCAGGTGCCCAAGAACATAATCCACATGGCTGTGTATTGAGAGGATGCCTACAGCAGCGTAACCTGCTGAGGGATGTTGTGGCGAGGACTATGGACATCTTGGGGACTGAAACTTTGTACCATAGGGGTGTAATGATGTCCAGCCACTCTGACAAGTCTGAACTTTATCTGTAACGATGTAAGCACATCCGTGCTTCCTAACAAAATGCTGTGTGCTTTTATCCACTCACTCAGCAAATGAAACACGTCTCCCATATTCATTGGCTTGTGGGAGATCTAGGTTTGATAGTCGGCTGTGCTTGTGGGAAGTGAAACTGGTAAGTCCTTTGTTAGGTACTGAGCGACTAATGTTAACTAAGCAAGAGAAAGCATGAAAGCATGATTCTAGCCTTGTAGTTTACAGTCAATACTTGCTGATGGTCTCAGGGCTCCAATGCTGATCTCTGAGGATCTTAACACTAAGCTGTAGGTATCCTAACCTAAGGGTCTGCATCTGTCTTCCAGTCTCTACTTGGTGTGGTTAATATTTAGTTATTCAATGAAAATCAGCAAAGCTTCAGTGGCCCAATGTGACCTGCAGCAGCAGGGCAGGAAGGTTGAGCGTGTAAATTCAGAACCCTTGAAGCAGAGGACAGGATGGAGTGGATGCTTTAATGGACCTCAGTTTGAACCTCAGTGCCTCATAGCTGGGAGGGACTAGGACATACAAGGCCTTTGTGGAAGAAGCCATCAGACTTTGCATTTCTGCTACTAAGACCAGAATTTGGCCCATAGCAGTTGAAGTTTTGGCCTTATCTTTGAAAAATTGGTTGACAGTTTCTAAGTGAACTTAAGTCCAGGAACAAGCTGGGAAACAAACTGAAAACTGCAAGATGCATCTGAGAAGTGCATGGGGGAGACTTTTTGTGCCCTAAGAAGGGTTCCCCGTTTCTGATGTCAGAAACCAACAGGGAAAAAGTGAGTGTTTTGTATGGGGAATAGTAAAAATTATCTTCAAAATTAATGCCAGCCTTTGTAACAAAATACCTCACGTTGCTTTAACTGATCCAAGTACTTCTACGACAGCTGTGCCGTGAGACAGGTTGTGCCAGCGTGCAGTTACATCTTACCAGAAATATCCCACTTGATAGTTGCTCTCTCAATCTCTGTTTCAGTTCCCCAGAAAGTTTCTGAGCTGAAAGCCGGTGGTGGTGGCTGGCTGAGGTCTCTGCGAGTGAACTGGCTGCCCCCTGCGGGAGACTGGGAGAGGTACCGCCTGCTCCTGTGGAACCGCTCGGCCCTGGTGCTCAACACCACCCTGGACAAGGACGCCACGGAGTACCTCATCCACGACGTGGGCCTCATCCCGGGGAGGCAGTACAGCGTGGACGTCGTTGTGGAGAGTGGCGATTTGCAGAGCAAGGCGAGCTGCACGGGGAGAACAGGTCAGCGTGCTCGTCTGGGAAGCGTGAACGTGCGAAATGTTCAGCTGGGCTCTCTGGAGAAGGAGAAAGAAAGAGTACTTGGGAATCCACAGATGTGTTTCACTATTAATACAGTAAAAAGGAGCTCCCTTGTAAAAAATAGAAATAATTATTTTTAGCAGTTCTGTGAAAACTTTCAGGGTTATTTTCGTGGTAGGTGTTTCGTTAATGAAAGTTTTGGGAATTATATCATCATTCTGTCATGACTGAGGCGTTACACTGCATGTACAACATTTCACTGTTATATTTTGTAGTTGATTGTAGGCACCCTGTACAGTTCTTAAAGAGAGCAATATAGATCTTCCTGTATTGTTCATCAGCATTTTCAATGGCAAACTGTTTTCCTTGACAGCCTGTGTAAAGAATATCAATGGTGTTAGCCAAAGTTGGCTGAGATGCTTGTTAGTGTGGCTGTTCCATAACATCCTAGTTCTTGTTCCTGTGCTCCAGAAAGAAAATGGGGCTAGTTTGTTCAAGTCAGCCTTTCCAGAAGAAATCCACATACACTGCAGGGATATGAGTGGAATTCTTTTGCAGCATGCTAGTCAAAGCCACATCCGATTGCTTCAAACTTAAAAAATAATTGCAATATAATTGTTACTGTTTCTGCTCTATGAATGCAAAATAAGTGCAATTCAGAGGAAAAGAAGACTTGGAAGAGGAATATCAGGCAAGGCTCAAGCCTGAGCCCTGTCTCACTGGAGAATGGGAGCTAAGATAGGGCCATGCTACTTTATCCTCACCCTTCCTTGTGCCTGCCTTTCCTGCTACACCCTTACCTGTCATTCCCTGAGGGCTTTGTATTGTTAATTTTGCACAATGTTAAGACCAGTAGAAGCTACAGAACTGAAGCTTTCTCTAACTTCTAGCCAACTTGATCAGAGCAAGGCATATTCTCATCTTGCTTACTTTGATATACATTACAGATAATTTAAGTTTATGGTGCTACTTTTAATTAACGCAGCTAAGCAATGAGAAAACATGGTCCAATAAATAATATCCAGCAGTGGGTGTGTCACATCTGTGTTTGACCCACAGTCAGGGACATAGTGTACCTGTTACAAAGCGTAGATATTAGGCCCTGTTCTGACTTAATTTTAAACCCACAGTCTTGGAAAGTGAGTTGTGTTCCAGTGTAACAGGGACAAAACAGATCAGGGGACTACGCTAGGTAACAGATGCCCTCTGTGTGCATGCATGCACACACACACACTTGAAAACACACAGAAATTCACTGTTCAAATTCTTTCTTTCCTACCACTGTAAGTTTGGAGTGTCTCCCAACTTGACTGAGATATGAACCAGTACAAAATCAATGTCACTCTGACCCTATAATTTGCATCCTTGTTTGTTACAGCTAAATTGATGTAGACCTGTTCTGTGGTACAAATGTTTTATATCCTTATCTAGCACCCACAGTTCAAGAGGAAGCTCACTGACTTCACTGCATTTCCATTCATACTAAAATATGTATCCAGACATAAGTTTAAACGTAAGCATTACAGCCATAATGCATTGCTGAAGTCTGTTGCTGCAGCTCTTTACTGGAAGAGTAGCACAAATACCAGATTTGTAAGACTGGCTTCCTTGAGAAAGGTAGAGAATCTCCTCTTGATTGCAAGTCTCCATTGCTGTCACATTTTGGTCTTACAGGACAGATTCCTTAGAGCCGCTTGAGATATGCCATGTGTGTTCACTACAAAGTCCTGTTCTCAGTGTGATATTTGTGTACTTTTGCAGCTCCAGAGCCTGTTCTCCATCTCCGTGTAAAGCATGCTAATGAATCTTCACTTAGTGTCATGTGGATTACCCCTGTTGCGGAATGGGACAGCTATGTGGTTTCACTGGGAGACAGGGATCTTACTGTCATAAAAAAAGGGCTTGCAAAAGACGCTAAGGAATTCACTTTCACTGACTTGGTACCTGGAAGAAAATATACAGCTACCATCACTACCATTAGTGGGATTTTAAGCAATTGGACTTCAGTGGAAGGAAGAACAGGTATCATCCTGTCAAACTATTTTAATCTTTACTTCTGTTAACAACTTTCTTTGCTTTGTAGTGAATTGAATGAACTCAGTGTCTAAATCTCAAAAGTCTTGAATTTACATTTGTTTCCTCCATAGAAAAGTTATGTTTCTGAGTCTCTCATTTCTGACTGTTAGTTATCTTGCAGTATTTATTTAAGGTTTTGGGGAAATAGATACATAATTCCTGGCAAAACAGTTTTCTGAAATACTATGTCACATCTGATCAATCTACATTACTACATGAGAGTCCATATAAGAAGAACAATTTTCACTGGGTATCTTCAGGAAGGTCACTTCCTTGATTCAAAGCATTCACCATCTGGAAAAAACCAAAACTACCACCACACAGGAAAATGTTGCTTTAGGGAGAACATTCCAAGGTTGACAGACGCAAAACATATGTGACCTTGAAAATGTATTTTGAATCTCTGCTCTTCTGATTCCAGAATCTGTGTCTGTTGCTTAGGATGATGGCTGTGACACAAGGAAGGTCCCATTCCCACCCCCTGCAGGGTGCTAATTTAGTGCACGTGTGCAAGTTTTAAACCATATGTGTTGCTTACTCTGCTTGACTTATGCGTTCTCCAGTGCAGGCTAAGTCTGAAAATGTAGCTCTGGTCTGGCACAGCACAGGGGAAAACAAGCTGCTAGTGTATGAATCTAATCATGCCTATGGCTTGATAGTGGTCCTTACTTAAATGTTGTAACTCCTTCCAAGGCCTGAAAAGTTTGACTTGCACTTTCATTTCTCTGCTATGTGATTAGATAGCTGGGATTTCTCTTCCTTCTGCCTTACGCCCTTTAGGAGGCCTATTCAGGCATAAAGGTTACAGTGTCCCACTTCACTGGTATGAATCAATGCTTGAAAACACATCAAGCCGGGATAGTGTGTCAGCATTACATTCAAAGCAATAAAGAATGAAGATCAATGAATTTGAATGTAGGTCTTAATAAGCATTCCAAAGCTCTTACTCTTCTTTGCAGTAGGACAGCTTACTACGCCTTCAAAATATTGCTGTAAATATGACAGAAATAGGTCTTACGTGCATCCCAGATTGGTCAGCTTCTAGTGAAGCCTGAGGTATCGCTAAAAGTGCCTTTAGCACAGAAATGTGGCACTTCAGTGTCTTGTTGGACCTTACTATGTTATGACAGCATTATAACACACATGGGATTTTTGATTCAGTTTTTAATCAACATTACGTTTTTTCTCAGCTATGTGCTTAATTTTCTACCTTTTCTTAATGATTGCTAACCCAGTACTACATGTGGAAAAAGGCTGATATAAAACAAGAGATGAAGCTTGCAATCACATTTTGTAAAGTCAGTGTTCTTTATTTCAGTTGTGCTTAGCCAAGTAAGCAGAAATACTTAGAAAGAAGTAACTGTATTTCCTTGCTTTGATTGAATATTATCAAATTTTTTTTTAAAAAAGGGATTTTGGGTAAAGTTTGTGCTAGATATTACATTCCTTTTGTTCTTTCTTTTTCCTTTTTGATCTGGCTAGGTTTACTATCTTATACTTAGGTAAATGTTATGTGTGTTTAACAATTAATTAATCTTTTGGTGCTATATAAGTTAGTGTCTTGCAGATCTTCTGACTTAAAAACTAAGACCAAATCATCTATCTCGGTTACCCCCAAAATTAAAGGGATTGACACTTCTCTGGGGTATAGATGGCTGTGGCTGAGTTATTCAGCAAACTAGTTTTCTATTTAATGGAAAATAGAGATGGGGAATAGGAGAGGAAAGGGACAACGAAAGATACAGACTGTATTTGAAACAGTCATCAAAAAGACAAGTGATTTCCTAAAGTGATGGCTTTTGTTTAGTAGTATTTATAAAATGCCACCTCTTCCACCTCCCTGATCTTGAATGATTTTGGTCTGACTGAGAAAAACTGTGCTAAAGCCTGAAAGACCTTTCTGTGCCTTAGATAGTTTCCCATAGACCACATCCCATCAGACAGGAAGCAGTCCACAGTTGGACTATTTTTAGTCCTGTTGAGTCTGGCTGCAAATTGGAATGTACTTTTGATGCATTTCCTCAGTGTGACTAAACTTGGGTTATTTGGGGGATTTTGGTTTTGTTTATTTTGTTTCTCCTCAGTAATATTATGACAATTTTCTTTACAGTGCCAGCCCAAGTGACTGGTCTGACCGTGGCAAGCCAGGGATCAACCAACAGCTTGTTCACCAACTGGACAAGCGCACTGGGAGATGTGGACTCATACCAAGTGCTACTGATTCACGAGAATGTTGTCATTAAAAACGAGACTGTTCCCAGTGAAACCAACAGATACCACTTCTATCCCCTGAAACCTGGAGGACTCTATTCAGTTGTTGTCACCACTGTCAGTGGGGGGATATCTTCAAGGCAAACGATCGCAGAGGGGAGGACAGGTAAAAAGGAAAATACTCCTGTATGTCTTTCAGTTCCTGAAAGCTGAATTTATTAGAGAATGGTCTTATGATTAAGCCACTGCACTGAAAATTTAGAAATACATGAGTTTCAGACATATAATTACTGTATGTGACATCAGGCACACTGTGGGTCCAGATTCATGTTAACGTAGCTTTAGGGAGCTAACTGCTCTGCCTGCCACAGGAACTCTGTACAGCAGGATCACTGT